AAAATATATATATATATATATATCCAGAGAAACCTGTAAGTGCAGATGCTCTTTAAATTAAGTGCTGCAGCACAGTTTTTTTTTACATGGGAGGCAATACTTAAAAAAAATAATTATTACTGAGAGTTTAAACCGTTTAATGGCAATCATCTAATTTGCAGCACACTGCAATCACTGTGATTCTAATGAGATGATGGAAAACTAGCAGTTAAATCTCTCCAAAGTAGGGATGCACCGATACCGATACTGGTATCGGTGCCCATAACGAGTATTTCATCGAGTACTCATACTTGCCCAAATGCTCAGATATCTTCCCCAATACTGGAATTTCTGGTCAGAGAAAGATTTCCTCTGACCGGCAGTGCCATAGGGGAACATGGAGCCACTTCCCGGGCAATCAGTAAGCCAGGTAGCAGGTAATGACCTGCCTCCCAGCTTCCTGATTGCCCGGGAAGCCAGCTCCATGTTGTTTGGCCCCCTTTATTAAAGGGGGAACCCTGATCCAAATAAGCCCTCCTGCCCGCAGACCCCCACAAGCAACGTCCCAGGGCTTGTGGGGAAGAGGTCCTTGTCCGGCTCTTTTCCAGGGGACCCTGGAAAAGCACCCTCCCAGTGCCTAGGCCATGTGGCCTGGCATGGTGGCGGGAGGGGGGTGGGCGCTTGCACGTTGTCGTCCCCCTTTCCTGCCCTGCCAGGCCTGTGCTCACACTAAGGGTCTTGTTAGGAATTTTAGGGGGGACCCCACATTTTATTTTCCCCATTTTTGGGGGTGGGGTTCCTCTTTAAAATTCCTACCAGACCTAAAGGCCTGGCATGACTTTGGGGGAACCCTCCACGTTTGGGGTCCCTCCTGACATTCCTACCAGACCTAAAGCGCCTGGTATGGTTTGGGAGGGGGACCCCACACTGTTTTGTTTTTTTTCTTTTATTAACATGTCATTTTTTTATTCTGCTTGCTACCACCGAGGTAGCAAACAGAATAGCCGAGCCGAATGCCACTCGGCTGCATTTGGCTATTCACTCACTGCCTTTCGGCCCCTATGAAAATAAGGCGAAGGGCAGTGAGTGAACTGCCGGAGGTTCAGCGTCGAATGGCTCCTTAACTTCAGCTCAGCTGAACATGCTGAGCATGTTCAGCTGAACCGAAGCCAGCCAAAGCTAAGCGATGTACGGCTGATTTTAGTCGATGTATGGCTGAAATCAGCCGTACAGGGCCGAAGTGAATAGCTGAACGGCGTTCGGCTCACTTCACTTCCGCAGCTTAGTGAATAACCCCTTTAGTGTGAATAAAGAAAGCATGCTGAGTGCAGGTTTGAAGAGCTTGTGTGTTTGAGGCTGTATAAATTGCAACTAATGGCAATTTAGCAAATTGCCATGGAAACTGAACTCTTGATCATCATCGAACATAATGCAAAGAAATTAATAAAACAGAACTAATTTTTAATTATACTATGAACAAAAGTCCAGTTCAGAATATCTGCATAGAAACTCAGAGATTAAAGAGGCTTAATAACAACAGAATACATAACAGATGTCTGGATGTGGGCTCTGCGTTATTGGCACAACATGATAATTAGGGATATATTAAGCTAGTTGAGAGTTGGTTGATTGGAACAAAACAACTAAAATATTTACCCATTCGGAAAAAATATTTAAGAGCAATGGTAAATACATATGTTAGAATGACCACAGAATCTCAGAACATTAAATGTCCTGATATTAGGTTACTTGATGGATTAATTGGGTTTGATGTAAGTGGACTATACACTGAGTAAATGTTGGCCGATTCTTGAGAAAACAGTGGCAATTCGCCAGGTGGGTGACCTTGTCTGTCGGCTCCCTTCCGACATCCTCCGATTTAAACAATCAAAGGAGACAAGCAGAAAATCCAATTAGATACAGGTACCATTGAGGTATTTTGACAGTCCTATGATTAATACTATAGGGTGAAAGTAAATCATTTCGAACCTCCTTCTCAGTAAGACCCTATTATCACAGTTACAAGTTAACCATCTGTCGCTATAACCTGGATCTAATACACTTACTGCAATATGGTACGAGCAATGGTTTATTCATGATGGATGAAAAGCTATGCACTCACTGCAATGTATTGTGGGGGAGGCACAGTGCAGTTCTACACAAGACAGTGAATCTAAGCAGACAGCTGCACCCTGTTAATTTTATCTTAAACAAGCAGCAATTTCTAATTTCAAATTATTTGCTATACTGCAGAAAATGTACGTAATCGAGATACTGACAAACAGCGGCATTTATAACTAATGGTCCTCAGAACAAAGTTCCCTCCTTCATATTCTACTTAGAATCTGTGTTGTAATGGTGCATTTAACAGTGATCAGTTGAGTGAATTTCAGTCAGCCGTTTTTGGACTTTTTGGACAAGAATGTGTTTACTAAAACGATGCAGAGATCATCATAATCTCATCCTTTATTTCTCATTTTTTACTAGATCACGCAAGAAAATCTAGAGAAAGTTGAGAATAAAGGTGACTTTTTTTCTGGCAGATATGTTTTTGTGATCAAGAAATAATCCTTACCACCATCCTCTTCCCTATTCATAGGAGTGTTCTGCTATTGTCCAAAAACGCTTTGTGGAGCATAAGTCTGCATCAATGCCCTAGCCGGTGGCAGCAAATGAGACTGAACAGCAATCACTAAGAAGCAATGCGCGGGTACAGGTAATGTCCCACTATAACTGATCATTGAGATCGTTTAGAGGCTATTGTACCACTAAGTGGACTAAACATATATGACTGTATGCATGCAGTATACTATATTTATTTTTTAATCTTTTAACATTAATATATTTACAGTATAACCTTAAATGTTGATAAAGTTGTGTGTTTTTTTAACTATGATTAAAGAACAAAACATTCATGGGCACCAATCCTTCACCAATGGTTAGTATGATCAAATGAGTGGTCTTCAAATGCCTTCGTCCTTTTATGAGTAAGGACATGGTAATATCCCAGTAAGATTTGCTCTAACTTTAGTCCAGCACTATTATATGCAAATAAGACTTCTGATTTGAATTTATTTTTTTTCGGTAGACTGAAACACTATGCACTGAGAAATGTGATGGTTGTATGCACATATGTATAGTGAACTACCACCCCCATTTTCAACTTTCCAAACATTCATTCCCATTATAATAAGGAGTCTGAGCAGCCTATTTATGGATAAGGATAAGGTTTAATGACCTTTGATAACCAGGCTTTCCAAATTTTCCTAGCTTGTACCACTGCTTCTATCTTTAGCTTTGTAAAGTCAAAGGTAGCTTTATATCAGTATATTCTATGACATTTCATAAACGGGAGAGCAGAGCAAGAATCTAATAGCTTTCATGGCAGGTTAAGATGAAATGATTATGTCACCATAGATGGTTGAATAATAAAATACAAATATATAGGGTTTTTAAATAATCTAATGTTAACACATTAATGAGAAAGTGGAATATTTGTGTTTGAAGTATTCTCAAGCAATGTGAACTTACTGCAGTCTTTCCCTTTAACTGGATCTGGCAGCCCAGCACATGACTTCCCTTGGTTTGGTACAGCAACTCGCCATCTTGATCCAGTGCTATCACATTCTGTGTATTCATAGTTATAATCACCCTGAAAATACACAAACATGATTATTAGAATTTAGCAGCCTAAATGTATACATGAGATTTAATAAATGCATAAAATGTATGAGATATTTAGAAACTTAACTTACAGCAAACATTCTGAAAACAAACATTGAAGTGGAAGAGACTATATTTTTTTATACCAAGCTTCTAATCTGACAAAAATCTGCGGGGAAATCAGGAATAATACATGGTTGAGTCGAGGTTTTTTGAATCTAATAGTTAAAGTTTACCCACAACTTAGTAGGTGCCTATCTCAAACTGCTATCTTCCTATATCAATATTTGTTGCCCATAGATCTCTTAAGGCCTGGTTCACACCTGAACGTTTTGTAGCGCGTTCAACGCTCGACGAACGCTCTACAAAACGCTCAAACATCTAAATCCCATTGTATTCAATGGGTCTGGTTCACACCTTGCCGTATTTCCGCCCGTCCGAACGCGATACAAAACGGTGCGAAACGCGCGACAAACGCGCATATTCAATACGCCTAGGTGTGAACCCAGCCTTAGGGTCACAGGAATCAAAATAAAAAGTTTGGGCTGCAATTGTCCTATTTATATTTATAGTATTTGACTTCCTTTTATAATTTGAACTATATTCTGTAACAGTAGCAATCCTCAAGCACTCACCGCTCCAATTCTGCCTATGGATTCCCACAATGAAGGTTTCTCGGGTACTGGCAGGATAAGGTGCGCTTTCGCCTGTAGTGATACCGACACAAAAAGGAGCAGCACTCCACGGATCTTCTGACTGGAATCCACGCTTTATTTTAGTGCATATAACAGATTACACCAGACAACTGCACCCCAAATCCTTTAACACGCTTCACCATCAAGGCTTAATCATAGAGATAAGATTTTTACACCTGTGTTTTCAAAAATATAGACCAGCCCTCTCCCTCTTCTACACATAGGTATGGTGAGAGCTGGAATGCGTGGGAGGATTTGGGGTGCGTTTGTCCAGTGTAATCTGTTACAGCACTAAAATAACGTGTGGATTCCAGTCAGAAGATCCTTTGAGTGCGGCTCCTTTTTGGGTCAGTAAATTCTTTAACAATTCTGCTTCCACTTATTCTTTATTAAATGTGGGTCAAGCAGTAAAGTGCATTTCTATATAGGGTTTCATTACATGCAAATCAATACCTTCAGTGCACTGCAGGGACGTCTGATGTAACCCATCAATACATTAACTTGATACCACAATAGATTATGGTGCCATTTTTTACTCCCTTGTTATGCTATAAGATACAACCAATCATACCGTATTGCCAGATGGAAGGAGGAAAAATATGATTGCTTCATATGACATCACATGTGACCAGATGGAGACTCTGATTTTTTTATTTATGCATAATGCTTTGAATTGCAATGTGTCCATGTAGATTTAAGCCACTGCTGTTCACTGTAAGCCATCGCAGACATGAGACCAGACACCCAGTATAGCTGTGAGCACTGGGCAATGTTCAAGATGTGGATAGATACTCTGACACCACAGCTGACACTGCCAACTAATGAATTTCAGTGTGTTGGTTTTATTCCTTGGATAAGACACTACAGTTCCCACAAGATGAAAATTGTGCTCAGCATACCTAATAAACACTAATAAACATACACTTTCTCGAAGGATAGTGCACTTGTATATGTGCAAGTCTACATTTTAAAAATGACCTTGCAGTCATATTGTTGTTAAATGTCTGAATGCTGTCTTAGGCTAATAGTGAGCTTCAGAATCACTGGTAGCAGTAGCATGGACACATGGGTAGCAGCATCAGTGACAGCTACTGGGTTCCTGACCCTGGGAGGTGCCGCTCTGCTCTGACCATGGTGGAACAATGTCTTTTCCTGTTACTAATCCAATGGAAGTACTATCATGTATCATGTAGATGTGAACGGCTAGACGATGCCTCTAATGCTTTCATAGTATGTATGTGTATAGTAGGTGTTATTAGTAAGAGACAATGTGCCACTTTGGTTTATATTTAATATGCAGGAACATGACCATGTCCATATAGATCTAATAGTAGTTACTAGCTACTATCAGATCTACAGTATATGGAGGCAGACAGTTACACCAATACAACAACCTATGATGCTCTCTGCCATTCCTTCACCACAACTGATATCATTAGCTGCCATGCTATAGAAACTCACTGTAGAGAACCACTTTACAAATGTGAGAGAAGAAAAATAGACTACTAAGTGCCTGAAAGTGTCTGGGCAAAGTAAAAAAATATATTCAGTACATCTCTGCAATACATGTACATTGCCTCATGTTTTATCCCTTTAACAATGCTGCAAATAAAGAAAACTATTTGTCGATCTGTCAGATATACAAGGTTCCAAGGTGCGCTAAATTCCTGTTTGAGCTGACAACACATGGTTTCTGCTACACAGAAATCCCAAACAGTGTTTTCAGCCCTGCTCAGCTATCGTCTACTGGACTACAGAACACTTCACCTTCTCATAAAAAAGGGGAGGTGTTGTGGAGTCAAGCAGGGAAGAACTCAGGAAAGGCTGACAAAACTGCTTAGGATTTCAGTGCCACAGCAGTTCTGCTTTGTCAGTCCAGTTTTGTTTTGTCAGTCCAAACAGGAAATTAGGAGAACCCTGGATTTCTGACAGATTAACAGGTAATTTTCTTCAGGAAAAGCCTGGTTTTCTATATTCCAAACTGAATAGCCTGGTTTTCCATATTCCATACTGAATATTTTTTTATCTGCACAGACATATACTTCTTTGTCTATTCAGGTGGCATCACAGCTGTAATGTCTTAGATGGCTCTATTGAGAGGAGACCGACACAAGGATGTCATCCTATTCTTATTATCTAGGTTTATCTGACTACTCAGCCGTACTGCATAATGAAAAACAGTGCTTGCAAGGCACACCTCGGTCTTTGTCCAAGCTATGGCATAAATGACCTATTTTCTCATGTTCTACATGAATAGTGACAGAGGTAGTGGACAAACTGCAAGTGCACTCTAGATCAATTTCATGTATTCATTTCTTATTTTATGGAGACATGTATGTTTGGAAAAGCCTTACCCAGAGATAATTAAATCAATAAGAACCAGCTACTGTGTAAAATGATTATACATCTGCTGGGTCTAGCCAGCCAGTAAACATAAAAAGGTTAATTAATGTTAAATATATACTAACTCACTGTTAATATAAAGGTGTCCATACCTGCTCAGAAAACATTTTGCTCTTATTGCAAGACATTGCTTGTATATTAAGGCAACATTTTTCAGAAATGTTTGCTTGTCTTGCAAAACACTCTCAAACCAAGTTACTTGTAAACCAAGGTATTACTGTAGTAGCATTCTTATGGCAGTAGTGCAGCTACCATTGTTTAATGTGAGCTGCTACAGAGTCAAGGAGGCTACAGAGTGACAGATGGTAGCATTCTTATGGCAATAGTGCAGCTACCGTTTTCTCTTCATTTTTACATAATCAATAACTACTTAGGGCTGCAACAACTAATCGACATAATCGATTATAATCGATTATTGAAAAAGTTGTCAACTTTTTCAATAATCGATTAATCGGCTTCCGATTGGTTGGCCCTGTTCACGGCTCCACACACGCTGCACGCCACACCTCCTCCCCACCTCAAGCTCGCCGATGCCAGGCCTGGCCGCATCCACACGCCGCACCTCCTCCCGCCTCACGCTCAGTGCTCGCCCAAATCCACGATCGGCACAGGTGCGCGGGGAGAAGAAGTAAGGAGGAGCAGGCGTGAGGGAATGACAATAGGCCCGATCTCAGAAACAAGTTGCTGGAAGACTGCTCAGGTAAGCCTGCACTTTCCCACACATGGTGCTCTATAATGTATTGCTGGGATTTGTATTCCTCTATACCTGATGGTACATTGTGATGTATATTAGATCAGCTATAGAGGAATACAAATCCCAGCAATACATTGTACACTGTATGTATAATGTATTGCTGGGATTTGTTGTATTCCTTTGTAGCTGGTGGTATTCTGCATTGCGCTGTATGGAGGACTACAAATCAAGGAATAATATATTATACAGCGCAATGCGGAATACCACCAGCTATAGACGAGTACAACAAATCCCAGCAATAATACATTATACAGCGCAATGCAGACTACCACTAGCTATAGAGGACTACAACACCCAGCAATAGTACATTATACAGCACAATGCAGAATACTACCAGCTATAATGTACTATTGCTGGGATTTGTTGTATTCCTCTATTGATGGTGGTATTCTGCATTGTGCTGTATAATGTACTATTGCTGGGTTTTGTAGTCCTCTATAGGCGGTGCCATTCTACATTAATTGCTGTATAATTTTACACTTTTCATTTCACTATATTGCACACCACACTTTTTTTTTCCTTTTCTTTACTTCCACCGCTCCAAGCTTGCTCCTGTGATGGACTACAATCTCAATACAAACTAGTAGTCCATCACTGGAGCCATTTTTAAAAATGTATTTAATTTTTTTAACCGATTAATCGAACTCAATAATCGTCCAACTAATCGATTTTGAAAATAATCGTTAGCTGCAGCTCTATAACTACTAATGCTATTCAGTCTCATTGAATGCAATACAGCCAGATTCATCAGGTTTTCACAGTGTTTGTGAACAACACTGCAGCCTCTTGTCACATGATTGTGTGATGTCCACTCTCCCTCTCTCAAAACGACAGGGGGCAATGTCCAGAACTAGGGACCTCTTTCCAGCATTTTCCCTGATTCAGGGCCATTCAGATAATTAAAATTCTGTAGACAACATGCCTTTGTTCTACCTGTTTCTGAATGAAACTGATGGGCCTAACAACTTTCAACATTGTTCAACTGAAACCTTTATTTCTTGGAGTCAAATTGTCCAATTGCTCACTACAGATTCCATGCTTGTGTATAACCCACTGCATGTTCTTGCTCCCCAAGCAATCCATCCCATGCTCAATGTGCAGACAATGTAGAGAAAAGGGAAGCCGCACTCCAAGATA